TGTACAGCAGTATTCCAGCCTAGAGAGAACAAGTGATTTAAAAAGGATCATCATTGGCTTGGAAACTCTTCTCTTGAATGTTCTCATTATCCATCTCATCAATTTCTTCGCAGATGTGATAGTGGTATTGTTGTGGTCCTTGAAGGTGAGGTCTTCAGACATTACTACTCCCAGGTCCTTCACATTACTTTTCCTCTTGATTGTGTGATTAGAGTTTGTAGTACACTCAGTTCAAACTTGAATTTTCAATGAAATTTTTAATTAATTTTCACCGAAATTTTCAATGAATGTTCAATGAAATTGTTAAAAGAATTGGAATCGATGGAATCAGATCATTTCCTCAAGAATATATTTTCTGATCGGCTTCACAATTTCATTGGTGGATTTTATTAAGAAAAAGCTTGGAGTTCACTTTTCTCAAGTGTAAGTCTCAATTAGCCAAGTAAATTAAGTAATTTTTTTGTCTTGTAATTACTAGACAATACCTTTCCTGATCAGCTTCAAACTCTAAACTCTGGTGTATCTTAATTTTAATGCATCACATTGCCTAGGTGACAGGTGACAGATTGCTAGACAATACCTTTCTGGTTGTCTTTAAACTTTTAGAGTTGACATAATTTCTTCAGTTTTGTAGATGAATGGTTCAGAGAACCGACATGTTGAAAAATTAGACACATGTGCAACTCTTGGGTATCTTTATTGAGGAAACGTTTCGCCACACAGTGGCTTCATCAGTCCATACAAAGGAGAATCTTGAAGAACAGGAGGAGAATGAGGTAATCAGTCCCTCAACCTTGAGTCGATGTGGGATCTTGGGATCTTAATACTTGGGAATTCTTCGCTTGCCTAATTCTTGGGCACGACCTACTTCAACATTGAACAAATGTTACACGACCTATGACTTCTGCACCTCTCCTGCCAACGGTTTATAAGCTCCTTCTCAGCACGTATGCCGTATTCTATTCAAGATTGATGGACTGACCACATCGACTCAAGGTTGAGGGACTGATTACCTCATTCTCCTCCTGTTCTTCAAGATTCTCCTTTGTATGGACTGATGAAGCCACTGTGTGGCGAAACGTTTCCTCAATAAAGATACCCAAGAGTTGCACATGTGTCTAATTTTTCATAATTTCTTCAGTGTTTTTATCGATTTTAAGTCGTGTAAGTTTTATATGGCATTTTTTTTATTAAATTGGTTTCCGATGACATAACTAAGAAATAACGTTTTGATCAGAAATATATAAATGTTTCGCTTTACTGGGTTATCCTATATTAAAACTACTGGTCATTTAATCTTATTAATTACTTTCTCCAATGCATATTTACTTATTGAACATTAAAATGGTATAAAATACCGACAGGTTGTTAGGTAAGACACATATGCAACAGTTAGGTATCTTTATTATGAAACGTTTCGCCTACACAGTAGGCTTCTTCAGTCAAGTACAGAAAAGTTGATAGAAGCAGAAGATACTTGAAGACGATGTAATCAGTCCATCACCCTTAAAGTTTTGAGGTGGTCAGTCCCTCAGACCACCTCAAAACTTTAAGGGTGATGGACTGATTACATCGTCTTCAAGTATCTTCTGCTTCTATCAACTTTTCTGTACTTGACTGAAGAAGCCTACTGTGTAGGCGAAACGTTTCATAATAAAGATACCTAACTGTTGCATATGTGTCTTACCTAACAGCATATTTACTTAAACCAGATACGCGGGTAAATCTTACTTAGAGAAATGTTTCGTTTATCTTTATCTGCATTGGTCCAAATTTGGCGTTTTTACATTGATTTTTATGCGGTAATTGCTGAGTATCTTGTACAAGTATCTTCATAATTCAACAACGTTAACTTGATAATTCTTATTCAGATGGTTTTAGTCTTTGTGTAAAATATAACCTCGAGGTTGAGCTTCTTATAGGAAGCTTCTATTCAGTTTAAGAAAGTGTTTGTCCTAATTTTTCCAGTTTTTAAATGAAAACATTAATGTCCTTGTTATAACTTGTGAATATAAAATTCGCATCAGATCTTCAACGCAGATACATACTATCAATATAAATTTATAACAATCTCTGCTTTAACCTTACCTTCAATATAAATTTATACCAATCTCTGCTTTAACCTTACCTTCAATATAAATTTATACCAATCTCTGCTTTAACCTTACTTTCAATATAAATTTATACCAATCTCTGCTTTAACCTTACCTTCAATATAAATTTATACCAATCTATGCATTAACCTTACTTTCAATATAAATTTATACCAATCTCTGCTTTAACCTTACCTTCAATATAAATTTATACCAATCTCTGCTTTAACCTTACCTTCAATATAAATTTATACCAATCTCTGCTTTAACCTCATCTAGAACACTGACGTTTTGAAACTATCGACTCTTGATTTATTAAGTATGATCAAGTATTTTTAAGCTATGCATATAATAAATTTAAAATGCCTGGATATAGAAGTGTATATTGCCGTAGGGATTCTGTGTAGCCTAAAGATAAGCAGCGTAGTCAGATGTAAACGATATCTGTGTAGTCAGGTTGAGAACATCAAACTTTGGTGTGAACCTCATCATGTTAACCTGAGAACACCTGAGGATAATATTCAGGTTGAGAACATCAAACATTGGTGTGAACCTCATCATGTCAACCTGAGAACACCTGAGGATATTATTCAGGTTGAGAACATCAAACTTTGGTGTGAACCTCATCATGTCAACCTGAGAACACCTGAGGATAATATTCAGGTTGAGAACATCAAACTTTGGTGTGAACCTCATCATGTCAACCTGAGAACACCTGAGGATAATATTCAGGTTGATAACATCAAACTTTGGTGTGAACCTCATCATGTCAACCTGAGAACACCTGAGGATAATATTCAGGTTGAGAACATCAAACATTGGTGTGAACCTCATCATGTCAACCTGAGAACACCTGAGGATAATATCTGAGCTTTTGGCTAGATCGCAGAAAGTCAGGCGACTGACCTCAACCGATATTACTGAGTGTTTGGAATTGTGTAAACGCGGGTTATATTTAAGAAATGCTGCCCAACATATTTAACGTATTATTTATTTTTAACAAATTAACTTCCACCTTCTTCAGTAACATAAATAATGTGATGTAAAAGTTTAGAAGATTGAGAAGTTGATGAATGAGACATTTGTGAAACGTTTGGGTAACTTTATTCTGGAAACGGTTCGCCAGAGTGATGAACTGAATGAACACTTCGACCCCAGACTAAGGGATTGATTGCTTCAAACTCTTCGTCATCTTCCGTCGTTCTTCTCTGTGTTGTACTGAAGACACCACTGATTGGCGAAACGTTTCCAAATAAAGAGACAAAAATGTTGCACGTGTCTCATTCTTCAACATAAATAATGTTCAGAAGAAGTAAAAATACTTATTTCCGCGCAGACATTTTGCAAGATGGAACATCATAAGAGGTTCACTTTACGGCATATCTAGTATTTTTAATTAATGATGGAGAAAAATATATTCTATTCATTTATTATCCCTGTATTAAAAGTTATTCATAAAATATATATCATAACAGTTTTGTTACTATATAAGAAATGTATGAAAATCTGGACTAACATTTTTGCCCGAATTACTGCAGTGCATCGAGGATGTTTATTTTTTACTATATGATAGAATTAAGGGGAGAGAATCAAGCGCAGAGATCGACCACGGAGATCCTAGCGAAAACGTCGTATATTTCTCCCGAAAATCATACTAGAGATGACACCATACCACGGGCGGGGATAGAACCCGCGATCAGAGAGACACGTTAGCTGGTCCAGTAGCTAACGCGACGGTCTGGAGTTTTGAAACTCTCTGATCGCGGGTTCTATCCCCGCCCGTGGCATGGTTTGTTTGCAATCGTGTCATTACGATTTCGTGAGTCATACTAGAGATGACCTGGTACAGACATGATCGTATAGGGGTCAGAGGAAACATTATAGTGTAGAAGTAGACGCAATAACTTACGAACAGTGCTGCAGATTTCAATATATAGGGACCCATTGAAGCAGCACACTGCGGATATAGGGGCATTATCTCTGCGGACCTTCTACACACACTTTTATAGCACCAACCCATGTTCTAACAAGTACATTCACAAATATATCTACACATTTATTTTCTTTGCACTCCCTCTCTCAAATCTCATTTCCAGTCTCACAATTTCTTAAATTTTTTGTAACTTTCATAACTTTCCACTTTCCTCAGGTCACTTTTAATTCCCTCCCAATTCTCTCCACGAACTATTGCAATTTGTCTTCAGGTTTTCCTAAATAAAAAGCGTAATCACCATACAGAAACTGAGACAACTCATACTTCGTGTGAAAACAGATGTTTTTCTTTCCCACCCCTATACCTAACTCCCAGCTTTCACGTGTTTTATTACCACATCTTCAAAGATGTTAAACAACCATTTAAATATCACCACATCCCTGTCTAAGGCCTAATTTTATTACAAAATAATCCTTCGTCTCTCGTGCATTCTATAATCTGAGCCTCATTATCCGCCTAAAAACTTTTTCTTTTTTCCTTTTAAACTTTTCTACTAATTCCACTCATACACATCAACCGCTAAATTGTTTCCTTCTACACCCAAACATGTGATTTGTTTTTTATGTCATAATTACAGAAGAGTCTCCTATATTAATGTAAGTACTGATTACATGATCTTGTGCATCCCCGATCGTTCCGAAATCTTCCTTGTTGTTCTCCAATCCATTATTATAACTTACCAATATCTTTTCATTAATAATTCTACCAAATACGTCTCCTGGTACACTTAATAGGTTCATTTCCCTGTAATTATTTCACTCACTCTTGTTCTCTTTATTCTTAAACTAACAAGCAATAATCTACACAAATAACCCGCACATAGAAGAGAGGAGCTTACGGCGATGTTTCGGTCCGACTTGGACCTTTTTTGTTATTCAAGCAAAATCCTCTTGATCCTTAGGTTGTTTCCTTATTTAATGCATAAAATAAAAGTATACACAAATTACTCCAAAATTACATTCCTAACTGCGTTTAACTTAATACCTTAATTATCAGGTGATTTACCCCTAATTGTTCGCTTGTTCAAGAATAAAGAGGACAAGAGTGAAATAATTATAGGGACGAATTTGGTAGGATTTTTAATGAAAAAAATATAGGTAAGATATAATAGAGAATTTTCATTATTGTGTCATATGTTTGAAATTACTGACTGATTTCATTAATTTTAAAACCCCTTCAAAATACTCTCTGCCTTGTTTAAGTATTCCTAGACCAAGAACCCCTAGTCCAAGTATCCCTAGTCCAAGTATCGCTTGCCCTAATATCCCAAATCTAAATATTTATCTAGTCCAAGTATTCCTAGTCCAAGTGTCACTAGCCCAAGTTAGGGAAACTTGGACTAGTGACACTTGAACTAGGAATACTTGGACTAGTGACACTTGGACTAGGGATACTTGGACTAGTGACACTTGGACTAGGGATACTTGGACTAGTGACACTTGGACTAGGGATACTTGTACTAGTGACACTTGGACTAGGAATACTTTGACTAGTGACACTTGGACTAGGGGAACTTGCACTAGGGATACTTGCACTAGGATTATTTGGACTAGATACTTAGACTAAGGATGCTTTGACGAGGGATACGTTTTCTAGATACTTAGAATAAGGATATTTAGACTAGAAATACTTTGACTAGATAAATACTTAGATTTGGGATATTAGGGCTAGTGATACTAGTGATATTGCTCACTTTAACTCTCCATTTTTTAGTCAAATCCAAAAAATTTTTACACCCTCTACCATGAATATATCAAACAAGGGAAACGGCTTACCTTTCATGGCTCTAATTTCGTATTTAGGCCTTTCCTTTACCAACTGGTTTTAATATTTTCAACTGAATCAAAATAAATTATGATGCATTAAAATGTATCACAAGAGCTTATAATGTTTGAGGGGGGCAGCCATTTCATGGTCAAGGGACCGTTACGATGAAAAATGTTTCAGAAATGGTTAAATAATTTATATGAACTTTGATGTGTTAAATTATTAACGTGTCATTCGACTCTGTTTTTCTGTTATTTTTGGGACAAAAACAAAAAAATAATTACGTTGATTAATTAAATCAACAAAATAGATTGATAGACCCCTAAGACGAAATGAGTCGCTTACTTCTTTCAATCTTGTTTTTCACAGAGTATTTTAATGAAGACCCGACGCAAGTTTCGACAAACAAGCACGAGTGCCCGTGTTAAATTTGCAAACATGCATGCTAGCGGCATGTCCTTCAAAGCCATCGCTGAAGAAACTGGCTTCAGCGTGTCCACCATCTATAGATGGGTACATCGCCATCTACAGGAAAGGAACATCATATCAAGACCTTGTGAGAGCAGGAATTTTAGTTCATGTATCACATATGATAAAGTGATCGTTCCTGAACATATCCCACGATGTTTTAAGACTATGATTGATTATTCACATTATCTACCAATTAGTTATATGCAGCAATATCCTTCTCAATACAGCCTACAAAAAGCGTTCAATGAATACCGAGCTACTTTTCCCAATACCTTCTGGCAGTGGAACACACACAACTGTTATCACTAAATAATTGCCATGGAAAAGTAATATAATCAAATCACTTTAAGTGGAAGATATAGAAACTCTCACTTATTCTGGAATACAGATTTGTCGGTAGAAGCAAACGAAATAACAGTGTTCATTTAATTTTACGGAAATAGTTTATATTTCCTCATTAATAACAATACCTGATTAAGTAACGAAAGTCGGATTCTTCAAGAAAAAGTATGTGATTTTATTAGGAAAACGTTAACAAATTCGTTTTATTACAATTACTTAATAATTTTGAAATTTTACATAAACAAATGAGTAAACAGTTGAATTTCAGATGTTCATGCATACTTACAATATCTCGTGTATTATAACGCATCTTTACATCAGTTTAATATACTGATAAACTTGATAAGATTATTTACTTACTAATAATATTCAAAACTTAATTTACACATATTGAAGAAGATATTTTTAAGCAGATTCACCCATGTTAACGTTACTATTGTACCGAGGACAGAAAGTACAAAAATAAATTTTCTAATTTCATTAATTCCTCGACCAAGTGTGGGTTCCAAACTGGTGATGCATACTCCAAAATGGGCCTTATGTACACGGTGTACAGAGATGTAGGGACGCTATTCTTATGTTTCCTCGGCACCCATATGCTGCAGCAGTTATTTCCTTGTTGTGCGCTCAGGAGATGTGCGCGGTATTGTACTCACCCCAAGGTCCTTTTCCTTGAGTGAGATTTGCAGTCTTTCGCTTCCCCTAACCTACCCACCCCTCTCTTTGCTGTCTTACTTCACCGTGTCATAAAACTTCAGTAGGTTTGTCACACAGGATTTCCCTTCCCGGAAACAGTGCTTGTTGTCTTCAATTAGCTTGTTCCTCTCTAGGTCCTCCACCACTTTTCTTCTGACAATGTTCTCCATGATTTTACATGCTTTGCATGTCAGTGATACTGGTTTGTAGTTTAATGCCACGCGTCTGTCTCCTTTCTTAAAAATTGGGACTACATGTGCTGTCTTCCGCACCTCAGGTAGTTGCCACGTTTCAATAGATGTGTTGAAGATTGTTGTTAGTGGCACACACAGCACCTCTGGTCCCTCTCTCAGGACCCACGAAGAGATGTTGTTTGGTCCCACAGCCTCTTAGGTATCCAGTTCAGTTAGCAGCCCTTTCACCTCCTCCTCGGTTGTGTTCATTGTGTTCAGAATTTGTTGGTTTACTCCACTATACCGACTTTCCGGTGCCCTGGTGGCTAAAGCTCCCGCTTCACACACGGAGGGCCCGGGTTCGATTCCCGGCGGGTGGAAACATTTCGACACGTTTCCTTACACCTGTTGTCCTGTTCACCTAGCAG